TTTCGAATTTCAATAAAAAATTGTTAAAGTGAAAGCAGCATGTTCATCTCCGATTATCGCATAATCCTGAAAACTTGCGGTACGACAAGGCTATTACACACTATCGGACGGCTTCTTCATCTTGCTAAGCTATACAGTAACCTGAGCAGTGTTGTCAGCGTCTTCTATTCGCGCAAGAATTTCATGCGTCCCGAGAAGCAGCCTTATCCGCACTCCTCTTTTGACAGTGAAATCGACTTCCTTGAAAGTTATTTCACAGGTACTGTTACAGACATATTCTTGATGTCGGGACTATTTTTTTAATGCATTTAAGAAGTCAGACAATTTGAGCGCTTGTTATGGAGATAAATCACTCCCATACCAAGGCGTTTGCCTTGCTTCGAATACACCAGCAGAAAGCCAGTTCGTGTTACATTCACTGCGCTGCTAAATATATCCCTGCACCTCTCATGATAAGGAATGGAACCGCCCTCAACTTCTTTTTCCTCGGTTTGCTTTCGGGGCTGGGTGCCGTCGATGGCTTTTTAGACAGATGGTTGCTGCTGCTTAATGAATGCTTTCGTCTTCTATAGAATTTGAGATACACAAAGAAAGTCGTGGCTTTTGACTTTTCGGGACCCAGGATAAACCGCCTGTCACTAACTGCCAGCAAGTGAGTGATGAAAATAATTTTGGGACGCGTGAGCTTGGATTCGTAGTTTATTAGTTTTCATCACTGAGTAGTTGATTCTGACAAAGTGTTGATGGCCTGACGGCTTCCATTTCCTCTTTCTTTTTATCATAAACAATGATTTCTTTTTTTTTTTTTTTGAAGCTTTTGGGATTTGTAAGAGCATTGCATGCTGCAGGAGGTTTCGCATATTGCCTGGGGCCAGTGAATCAGGATCGCTGGTTTCTATATACGATGGTGGCGCCGCAAGCCGCACTGCCTTATCCGGATCACACACTTGAAATTCTTATGACCGAAATACCCGATGAAGTAGTGGCTCTGTTCAGTCGGAACGTTTGCTTGGATGGCGCGGATTGCAGGATGGTTGTTCTTATCCACTGATCCATTTTCATTTTGGTTCTCGAACATCTCAAGCGATCCTCAGCACATTTGTTTTCACTCGCAGTCGTGCCAGCGGCTGATGTTTTTAGCAAAAACATTACGCAGTAAATAAGAGTGATAAA